TATTTTTAATTTCATACTTTTATACAGGTTCTAAAAATATTTATGGCATTAAGACTCATTCACGTATGCAAAAGAATCACACCCTGTAAGACATTGCTTTAATTAGCATTTAATTTTATATCGCTTCTTACTCTTGCTTTTAAAGGGAAATAAGGGTCTATAGAATGAAATATTTATGCAGAACAGTGAAAAAAAAAGCCCTGCGTCATTTTATTAGAATGTTCTCTCGGGGACGCCTCAGCCCTCCCTGAGTTAATGGTGAGGGGCTGGATCCTACTTGGAGCAACGAACGGAGACATCTGTTCTGTAGATAGTCAGAAGTCTCGGGCAGTGAAATGGGCCCTCAGCCAGGCAAGCGTTGGTTCCCCAGATTCTTGTGTTGTCAACATTTCCGTTTCAGAAGAAGAGCCCTGGTGATACAGTGGTTATACATTGGGCTACTGACTGCAAAGTCAATGGTTCGAAACCACCAGCTGCTTCTCAGGAGAAAGACTGAGCTTTCTGCTTCCTTAGGGACTTACAGTCTCTAACATGCCCAGAGATAGTTAGTTCTGCCTTTTCCCGCAAGGTTGCTGTCAGTCAGCATCCACTCATCGCTGTGTTTGAGGGAGTGAGGGGTGACGATTCTGAAATGATCTAAACGTAGGGACCTACAAGAATTAGGAAGGAACTTGTGAAAAGGTGTGGTCTGTAACATCACTCACCTCGTAGTCTTTTCTTTTTGTTTGTTTAATTCTGTTTTTCACAAGTGTAGCTCCTCCCAAGTGATTTTATCAAGCATGCTTCTGGGGAATGATATATGAATTACAAGTACGTTGCAAAGTTGTGTAGAAAATGCTTCTCCTTAAAGATACCAGTTAACCTTGGAGGTGACCAGCATTTACCTCCCCACCCCCACCCCATGACACATCATCCATCTAAGGCTTGCAGTGCCGTGCTTTCTCCCCATGACCTTTCGCTCACTTGCGGGACTTCTGGAGCTGGCCACAGAGAGTCCTTCTCCAGCACTTTCTTCCCTTCCTGCCTTGATCAACCCTGATCCTTTTCGTTTCCTTCACTCGCGCCTTCACCTTTCTCCCCTCCTCTCTCTCTGCTCTGTTAGGACAGTTTCGTCACGTCTTTTACCTCCTTCTGCCTGTGACCACGCAAATATCTGTGGTGAAGAGGGTTGAAATGCCGCATCTAAGATCTTACATTGTAAGGAGTAATTGACGCGTCAGTAACAACGGAGATCTTACCACTTTGCCAAGATCGGGTACATCTTATCACTGTGCCAACTGAAGGAAGCAATTTAGATCTACCTTACTCAAAGCAAACAAAACAAAAAGTCTAATTAAAGGTAACATTCCTAATCACACAAGAGAACTAGACCCTGTAATTTTCAGAATGAGTGACAGCTGTTGTCCGTGGAGACTGTCGCACTTAAAGAAGAGATTTCTGCTGGTAATAGAAGAGTAAGCCTCATGCAGCGAATTTGTTTGCTCTTTAAGGGAATTAACTCAAGTTCATTTAAGCCGTGTTATATGCAAACATCCATCCTGCAAGTAACTTGTGTTTCTTTTACTCTCATGTTGATATTAGATAAATTAAATACTCCTCAAGGAGAAGCATTTTCTCTCAGACGAATGCATTATTTTTTCATTTCTTCTTTTGGTTGGCTGTAATTCTGTTGAATGTTTAAGAGGTCTGTGGACTAGTTTGTGCAGAATAATGGTCTAATGAGAAAGGGGCAGTGTTCTCTGTTTTCTCACTCAAAACTGTATTAGCCAACCTATATAAATCTGTAAGAGACAGCTGGTGTGGGGAGATGTCCACTCTCCTGTTCATGAGGCCCTCACCCACAAAGCAGTATCCCTACCTGCGGGGCATTTTCACTCCGATCAAGTTACATCTTTCTTGACCTAATAAGACTTGGTTAAAAAAAAAATCACAGTAGTCGTCAGGGAGGAGCTCTATGCCAGATCTTCTCCAGGTGCTTTTTTTGCCCCAAATGTTAGGAACAAGAATAAGCAGAAATGCACATCCGTTCCACAGTTTTCATATCCCTTCACTAGTGCGTCATTCTGAACCGATCAATGCAGAAAAGCAAAAACCATCTCACTGTTGTTTGACTCCTCCCCACCTGTGGGTCCCCGCTTTTAAGACTTAAGGAGTCCCTGATGCATGTCCTCTGCGCTCTCTGGCCTTCCCTCTGCTGGGGTCCTGTGGACCTTGTCATGGTGGGTCCTTGCCTAGAGAGGTCGTCTTCATACCTGCCACACATAGGGCCAGCTGAGGAGACAGTAGGACGCACCACCAGCAGTAGCTCCTCTGGCATAGATTCCAAGAAGGAACCTGATTTGAAAAGTCCTTTTGTTTTTGTGTGAGAAAGTGGAGCTTGTTCTGTCATTTACATTCAGTAATTTAGGGCAGGATATTCTTGTTCTTAGGAGCATAACTTCTATCTGAACTCTCCAGAATAGCTATTGACTGCATACACCATATTCATTCTCATTCTCTCTCTCTCTCTCTCTCTCTCTCTTTCTCTCTGTCCCCTTCCCCTTACTTTTTTCTATGTCAATTGCACTTTCTTTTAAAATCTTTATAACTGAGACCTACTTGTATGCTAAGGAGCTTTATCTAATATTTCTCTTCTGAGTTTGACTTTACTTCCTGTCTTCTGGTAAAAGCATTCTATGAAGGGACTTCACAAATGCATGGGGGAAAAACAATCCATTCTCTTTGAATCCTGTATTTCCACACACTTTTCGGACCCCCTTCATATAGTCAAGGGCTGTAGTAAACCCAAGAGAACTAATTCTACCTTTGAAGAAATTCCACAATTCTCAGAATCCCAACAGCTGTGACGTGACCAGCTCTTGCTAACTGTTGAGATCTGACTTAATCTGTTTCACTACTTTCTTCTTGTTCCTGAGCATTCTATATTATAAAAAAAAAGAACTGAGCCAGACAGTGTTACTCAGAGAAATGTGGTCATGTGCCTATTCTTGCCTGAGTCTCAGCCGCTTACAAGGTGAGTGGAGGCAGCTCTTAGGGCACACTCTCAGAAACATGAAAGCTTCTTGGCAGAGGAATAAGTTTGGAAGTTGGACAACCTCACTGAAAGTGTTTCTGGAGGTGCGTTAGGTGACTAATGCAAACTGAAAGTGCTCTAGGTCTGGGTAGCCCCAGGCCACAGTCTCAAGGCTTTGCTTTTGTGTTTCGTGTTATTGTTTGCTTGTTTGTTACTTTTTAAGACTTTTTGAAGAGACCCCTAGAGAGCTACGTGAAAAAATTAAAAGTACCAGTTCATGTCATTCGAATGGAGCAGCGTTCTGGATTGATCCGAGCCCGGTTAAAAGGAGCGGCTGTGTCTAAAGGACAAGTGATCACCTTCTTAGACGCTCACTGTGAGTGCACAGTGGGGTGGCTGGAGCCCCTCCTCGCCAGGATCAAGCATGACAGGTACATTTGCTTTCGGCACGTTTTTCCTAACCAAGTGGTAAGTGTCTTAGTTGTCTAGTGCTGCTGCTTATAAGAGAAGAACTGCCAGTGGACAACGTTAACAAGTGGACGTTTGTTTTTCACAAGGTCGAAGGCTAGAAATCTGACGGCAGGGCGCCGGTTCTCAGGCACAGTTCTCTCTGTTGGTGCTGGAGGAAGGTCCTTGTGTCCTTCCAACAGTTGTAGATCCGGCATTCCTTGGAAAGTCCCCATCGCTTTGCATCATTTCTCACCCTAACTAGGAAGTTCTCAACACAAGGACCCCAGGTCCAAGGGACATGCTGTGCCCCCAGCTCTTCTTTTGTGGTGGTACTGAGCTGTGTTCTCTGCTCACTTCTCTCTTATCTCTTGTAAGGTAAAAGGTGTAACTCAAGCAAGAATATGACTTAAATAAGGGTGGTGCAACTAAACCTAACCCGTCCTGCCTCCTTAACGTAGCTCACGGCCCAGTGTTCATTAATGTAGCCTAATCCTGCCTCATTCACACCCAGCAGTCGGGGTTTGCAGCACGTAAAATGGAGGAGGGCAGCATCGGATCACAATATGGGACACAAACACACAACACTACGAATCATGACCTAACCAAGTTGGGGCGTGTTTTGGTGGGGCACACAATTCAATCCAGGAAAGTCCGGGAACAGAATTCAGTATTTTAAAGTCAACACAAAAATAATTTCTCCCGAGTTTCCTTTTAAGTACCCGTGAAGAGGGCTATAAGCTAAATATGAGAGAAAACCACATTCGATGGTCTGGAAGGAATGTTTGCAAACTGCCTTGTGAAATGGAATTGAACTGGGAAGCGTACTGTTGGCATATGGACTACATGAGTAGTCTCCTTGCTCGCCGGAAATAGACAGATAAACAGTGAACTCCAAGAAGCTAGGATAAAACACTTGGCTTGCCCCCCACCCACCACCCCCGCCCTAAGCTAACACCACCGCAGGCAAGTGTCCCCCATGCCTCATCATCTCATCTCTATCAACATCCACACTAAGACGATAGCTTCCAGTCCAGCACCGTGAGAGGCAGGAGGGGGTGGTGAGAAAGCGATTTCGTCCTGAGATGCTCAGTGGATACCAGAAAGCTCAACGGTATCAGCTACCCCAGAGGGAGCACTGGGTGGTGGTCATGCTTATGGTTGTGGTTCTTGGTGCGTCACCCTTTTCAAAGAATTCCCTACCACTTGGGTCTGGTTGGCTCCTCGCTCAGCAGGGACTGCTTACAGTCTGTCGGGCCTATATTAGTTAAATTTCTGTTTGTCATCCCCATTTAAGCTAGAGGCTGTTAGTACCAACGTAGCATCCATGTTTAGATTTCAGAGGGATAATGCTTCGGCGCCAGCACCGCCACAGCGCCTTCCCGTCCTGCTGAAGTCTTCTGAAATAACACACCTTGTCTCTTCCGGGCATGTTGTTTTGGCCTGGGCTAGTCACAAGAGCGAGCCTGATTTCACCGTGGCAATGGAAGTATAATTCTCTTACAACAGTATCCAGTTAGGAATAATATTACAGTCTGTACTTCAAATAAACATAAGTCAAAAAAAAAAAGAGAGAGAAGACAAGAAGTTCTACCAGTTCATTGGTTCACTGACACCTTTCACACTGCCCGCATGCTTGGTATCTTGCTACATTTCTATATCTGGAGACAGGGAGTGGACTCTATTTCATCCTTTATCAAGCACTGTTAGCCACTAACCCTTGATGATTGCATGGCTGAGTCTGGAAGCTCTGCTGAGACCTGTTCACTCTGGGCCCCGGCTGCTGTGTGAAACTCCATGATTGCATGGCTGCTGCCAAAAGCCCCGAGACACCTGCTTCCGAGACAAAGGCCTTGGTGTAATAGCGCACAGCAAGAAGCACAAGCTACGGCATTCACATCGAGTCCCTTGCCCGCCAGGAGCCACTTGGAATGGCCGGGACGGAAGCTGTGTGCACCGTTGGTTTGTAGGGTCACAGCTGAGGAACCCCCAGGCGCAAACTCTTGAGCCTTTTATGTGGTAGGCTGCATGCTGGGGGAGGAGACACTTTCTCTTTCAGAGTGTGCCCAGAGCAACTCTGCGGAAACAGGGAGACCCCCGTAGAGAATCAGCTCCTGCACCTTTCTTGGAAAGTGAGAAAAGACCTGGAAAACAGAGATGGGAAAAGAGAACCTGTCTAGGTCAGTGTTAGGAAAGGTTCATAAAGAAGCCGATGAACTAGAAATTAAACTTACAAGCTACCCAGGTGTGGGTATCCCTTAGAAAGCCTCTGCTTTACCGGTTTAAGGATAGGAGGTAGAAACCATTCGAATCACAAATATGGTTGCAGAGAGCCTAAATGAACTACGGGGCAGACCCAATTCAACAATGTCTTACTTGAACATTCTTCAATAATAAAGTAGTGTTTCAACCAAGTGTACAAGAATAGTGTTAGATGTAACAAAAATAACTTCATTGTATCATAATGTGACAAATAAGGAAAACCACAAAATCACTTCAGTAGGATCTTAAAAAGGCACTGAAAATACTCAGCATATTTTCCTAATTAATAACTCAGAGGACGCCAACAACTGTCCCTACCATGTGAATGAATGCCCCGTATCGCACTTGTAAAATACCTGAAGAAACTTCACTAAAAACAAACCGTGTAACTCAGGACGTCCCAATCAATGCAATAACCAACAAAGAGAGCTACAACCATAACACAAAACTAAACTCCAGGCATAAGATGTAGCTACAGACAGTGGAGGACTAACCTGCAAGGGACTGTTGAGCAGACGTCCGCTTTAAGAAAGACTCGTGAGCTTAAAGTTCATGGAAGCAATTACACTAAAATGGAGAGATGTGAAAAAGTATTTGCATTTCTGCCCCTCAAAACTCATCATAAAAGTAAACTGAAAATACTTTCCAGAGAGAAGCATAAAGGCTAACGCCTTCCATGCGCAACATGTATTCTTATCAGTCCTACATGCGAATGAGACTCACTTCGCAATCATCAGAGGAAAAGCGAGTGAATAGTTGGAATTCACAGGGGAAAAGTGAAAACTGAAAGTGAATAAACATGAAATATTTAACATTTCTTAATAACCACAAAAACTTCCCGTGAAAACTGGGGTTTATTTTTGCAGATTGTAGAGTATTTCTTTTATAAAATTCAGACATTATAAAAACATCCAAAGCAGAAATAAAACCCATTGAGGCATATTTTTCACTCAAGAAGATGTTAGTTCTGCATCAAGATTTTTAATCCAAGCCAGAAATGCATTTCTTTTTAAACATTTGTTACTTTGTAGATTTAAGAATAAAAAGTGCTAGTCAGGAGTAGTGAATTGGCCTCTCTTATCAAGGTAGTGTGGTCAACCAACTAATTTGGAGATAGGTTTTTGAGAGCCTTCAATTAAATCATCCTCCTGAGCAAAGATTTTTCACTCTTGAGATAGTATCTCTTCTAAGGAAATGATCCAGTACAAAGATGTATGCATAAGGATATTTACTGTAATGCTTATATAAACAGTGGTGCTTATAGAATCTGTGACATTCATAAAATGGAATGTTAAGCAGAAATGTAAAATAATGCTTCCAAAAAATGAGGAAATGTTTACTGTAATTAATTAATATCAGGCAAACGAAATCGGGACATCAAACCATTCATACAAAATCCATTACCAGGGAGTTGATTCTGACTCCTAGCATCTCTCTATAGGACCGAGTAGAAAAATCCCATCGTGGTTTGAAGGCTTTTTAAGTCTGTAAAGAATCAGATTGCCACATCTTTTTTCTCAGGGACCATCGGATGGGTTCAAACCACTGAACTTTGGGTTGGTAGCCAAACACTTTAACCACTGCTACCAGGGCTCCTTAGCCATACCCACCTACTGCCATTGAGTCCGTTCTGACCAAAGTGACCCCACAGAGGGTCTCTGAGATTGGAAATCTTTACAGGGGCAGACTGCCTCCTCTTTCTCCCTTGGAGCGGCCGGTAGGTTTTGAACTGCTAACCTTGCAAGGAGCAGCCCAGCGCCTACCCTACAGCACTGCCGGGGCTTCTTTACAGCCATACGTAGGATCCTAGTTTGTTTCCTTCCTCTCTGAGGAAACTCCCAAACTAAGGATGGTGACATTTATCCAGTGAAATTACAAGTGACTTCTCTGGAAACCAGCGGCATCCTGGTATCTTAGGCCGCATAATGCCGTGTGTCAGAGTTTGAGGCAGACACACGCCTGTCTTGGCACGTGAGCTCCACGTCACAGCCGCTGAGCTCAGCCTTGCCGCCGTGTTCATGGCTCCCATTCGTTCCAAGTCGGCCTTGGATTAAGTGGCCATTCCTAGTCTGTAGCTGGGTGGGAGGCTATCATATACTTACCATGGAATAGAGCTTCCAGGGGACTGCCTTTTCAGGAAGGGCTCGGGAGTCAGCTTTTCTCTCCAAAAGGATTCGCTTTTCCGGATTTTTTTTTTTTTTTAATCACAGTGCCAATTAAGACTGTTGTCGTTCATAAGAAATACGAACATGAGGGGACGTGTCCTTTCTAATAATTAGAAAGTATGAAACTGGAACATCCTGCGATAATATGGGAAAAGAGTAAGAAGATAGCACCTGAAGCCGGCGGCATTGTGGAGAGGCTGTAGACAGGCACGTGCATGGCCGTCTGACACTGCGGAGTCAAGAAGAGCCCACAGAAGCCTCTTGCCCTTGCCCCTGCCCCATAGTCTCCCTCCTGGAAGATTATCCGTACAGCAAAAGGGAAATGCTTTGTCTATCAATATGTGCACGGTAATATTGTAATGGCCAGAATTTACGGGGGGGAAAAAGGACTCTCCAAGAGTTGGTTATTTAAAAAAATTACCTGCCATGCTAACTTTGAAAAGTGCAGAGCTATTTAAACCTTTTTACATGTGGCGGATATGTGAAAAGATGACCTCTGGTGTTAGTGATTAGTGTTAGTGATGCCGTCTCCATACAGGAAAGCTGTTAGTAAACCGTGTTCCGTTGCTCCCGTGATTGTAGGAGGACAGTCGTGTGCCCCATCATTGACGTGATCAGCGACGACACATTTGAGTACATGGCAGGTTCTGACATGACGTACGGCGGATTCAACTGGAAGCTCAACTTTCGCTGGTACCCTGTTCCCCAAAGAGAAATGGACAGGAGGAAAGGGGATCGAACCCTTCCCGTCAGGTAATTCGTTTGTTGAGCGCTGTCTTCTAAGGTGTTATGGACTGATGCTTGTCACCATCCTAAGAATCATATCAAGTGGACGGTACATACATTTTGAGAGGTGAAGCACTTGTGTATCTTATGTATAGTTAACCATTTTCACCTCAGTATTTTTTTACAGAAGGATTTCCCTCCCCTCTGATCAACTAATAAAATTTAAATTTTCGTGTATCTATGTCTAGTACACATGAGAAATGATGGCATGGATATGTTTTGGGGTCCTACATGATTATAGGTTCGATCAGACTTGTGGTTTAATTTGATTAAAGATAGTATTTATTTTAAATCAAATTACCCCTGGGATTAATTCCTTTTAAGTGTTAATATGTGAAAATACCACTTGAAGCTGGGTCTTTGCTCCAGAATGTAAAATTTTAAATTCAGGTGCATAACATCTGGGTGATCATCACTGAATGGTAAGGTTAGAAAAACTTGTTTCAAGACAAATAACTAGAATTGACACAAAGTATAAAAGGAATTTTTGGTTCAGCTATTGTAATTTTTTTCTTCTACACTTGAATGGACACTTACAGATGTCCACCCCTCCCCCCAAGAGAGATATAAAATCTTCCTTCTATTCAGAACCTTTAAATTGAGACTAAGGGCCTGCTGCTGCTTTTCATAGGTAGGAGTTCCTTAAGAATCCATCTTCCCTTTCTCCTTCTCCTTCCACCCTGGGCTTCTCAGCTCTGCTGTCTCAAGTCCAGTGCTGGCAAAGTTGGAGAGGATTCCCGAAAACCAACTTCAAATAAAGGAATTCAAGGTAGACGCTCAGCCAGGACTTGAGGACCTAGAACACCGTGAGAGGCAGGAGCCGCCTGGGGAGGTCAGGGCCTGGCAGGGAGAGAGGAATGCATGGCAGAACCCGTGGCTGCGACTTGATTCGGGGATGCGCACCACTGGGGTGTCTAGGTCGTGTCTACACTCCAGGCAACAGGGCATGAAAACAGACAGTCCTGGGGTCTATGAAAGTTCGGAAGAACTACATTCATTACTCTCTAGTTACAAAGAGTTACAAACTAGTGTTAAGTTTCTAATTGTGATTGAATTTCAGAACGCCAACAATGGCAGGAGGTCTTTTTTCAATAGACAGAGATTACTTTCAGGAAATTGGAACATATGATGCTGGAATGGATATTTGGGGAGGAGAGAACCTAGAAATTTCCTTCAGGGTAAGATCCTTTAAAAAACTTATTCTACTTTATCTCAAATATAGATATGCTTTGATTGTTCATGCTTATCGACTGAAGAATCTTCCGTCTATAAGAGCCTTAAATGCAAGAATTACTCCTTTAGGTAAAAATTAGTATGCAGAGAAAGTTTTATATATATATGCTTGTGCATATATTTGAGATTGCTAATTATTTGCAGATAATTTGCATCTTAAATTATTGGCATTTTAGGGGTGTGACTGAGGGTTTATTACAAACGATTTAAGCAGTTGTTTTCACTATAATTCATTATAAACTTGCAAAGATTTCCTAGCTGTTTTTGTTCACTTCTGTTTTTTTAAGGGAATAATTCAATAAGCAAATAAATAATGCATAATTTATATATGCTACTTGCTATTTAACTGCTGCTAAAAATAACAATTTTACACTGTAATGTACTTGGCTCTTCTAGGGTGAAAATTGTTCCTTCTTGCACAAAACCTTGTTACGTTACCTGATTATTTGCTTAAGTAGCCTGGTTATCTTACCAGATCTACATATATTTTTAATGCAAGAGAATTCTGAAGTTGCTCTAAATTAGTTTCACCTAACGACACTGCATATTTTGTAAACAATCGACCCTTTGACACGCAGCTTCGCATCACAGAACCTGCACCAGTCGGCACAGTAAAATGAGCCAGCTCCCTCCCTTCCCGGGGGATCATTGGACTCCTCGTAAGGAGAAAGGGTTGGGCGCTAGATAATCTTGGAGACACCTGTCCAGCCCTAGCACTTTAGGATCACGGGAAGTGTGAAAGTAAACATTCTCAGCATTTCACAAAGACAAATATGAGTTGGAAAGACCTGGGAAAATCATTTCGTAGAGAGATGTGAAACCAGCCAGGATGTGTTTTTGTTTTGTCTCTTTTTTTCTGTTTATTGTTCTAAGTAAGACAACAAAAACATGCTATGAATATCTCACTGAATAATTCATGGTCTGGTTTAGATTCTCTGGTTTAGATTCCCAAGTTCTGTTTAATTCACAGGATGTGACACGGGTTTGGAAGGGGAGCAGGTAAACATAGGGATGGATATCGCTGGTCAAAAGTTTGACCACAAATCATGCTAATAAATATATTACTATCACCTGTACACACACACACACACACAGTTTAAACAGATATTTATGGAACAGTGTTTTCTTTTTAGCAAGGGCTGGTTGCAATTCATTACATTTGAAGTTATGAGATGAAGAGTCATGGCTACAGTTACAAAAGTCGTATTTTAGACCTTATCTCTGTTTGTAGCGTTCACCCTATTTGTTCAGTACATTAACCTTCAATTGGTGCTTAACCAGCACTTAGAGAAAGTGCGCCCTGAGGAAGCGCTGACTGGGGCAAGGAGGAGAGAGCAGGAGCTGACTGTATGTCTTTGACTCTGTGAAGCTCGACATGCTTTGCGTTGTTTTCCCCTATTCCAGCCACGGGTAGCTCCGATGACCTGTTCTGTCCTGGTTTTCAGATATGGCAGTGTGGAGGGACTTTGGAAATTGTGACGTGTTCACACGTGGGACACGTCTTTCGGAAAGCTACCCCTTACACATTTCCAGGAGGCACAGGGCAGATTATCAATAAAAACAACCGACGACTCGCAGAAGTATGGATGGATGAGTTCAAGAATTTCTTCTATATAATTTCCCCAGGTGAGCATGATTCGATCTAAAGCATTCTAAGGGAGTGGAAGAGGCTTTGAGCAGAGGCCAAGCCCTTACCAGAGGGTCGTTGTAAGGAATAAATGAAATCACATACAGTGTGAAAGGTGCATTAAATAGGAACAATACCATGCTATCCAGGTCAGTTTACATAAATTAATCTTACACTCATATTTATATATACACTTTTTAATCCAGGGGTCCTCAAACTTTTTAAACAGGGAGTCAGTTCACTCCTATGCACACTGCACATCTTATTTTGAAGTAAAAAAACAAATGGGGCAAAAACACCCGGCAGGCAGGGTAAATGTCCTCGGTGGGCCGCATGTGGCCCCGCGGACCATAGTTTGAGGACACCTGTAAATCTAACGGCAACATTTTACACTTGAATTCTGCGTAAGCTTCGGGGTGTTCGTTTTTAAGCCGTTTCCCTCCCTTGCATGGATGTTTGGTCTCCTCGGCTTTGTCACCCAGCATGACCACTGCCTGCTCTAGGGGAGCCACGTGCCTTCAGCTTGCAGGGTTTTCATGGAATGTCAGGTGTTAAAAAGTCAGTTCGGATCCCCACTACACACCTGCCTCACGGACTTCTCTCCGGGTCAGGGTTTTCTGAGAACTGTTGTGCCTTTTAGCCATCTTTGAGCTTGTTACCATCGTGTTTGTGTTGTCACAAATGGGGCAGTGTGCACACTTGAGTCAGAAAAGCACTATTTTAGACTGCCGTTGAATGAGAGAAGCCCCACTCGTAACTTCTGGAATGCCTGTGTCGTTTGGACAAAAGAGATCTAGAGTTTTGTTTTGTAGCCTTAATAGATGTGAAGTGTTCTGAGCCCATTTGTCCCTGAGTGTAATCTTATTAGCATCTGTTTCATTCTCATAGGCTGCTGATTTTTCTTTGAAAAGTTTTATACTTTGGGAGGTAGATTCATGGTATATGAGTACAGCATGATTCCACATTCCCCGTTTGTGGGGCTTATTAGATGAAGTATATGAGTTGAATTGTGTTTCCACATGGAGCACTAGTAATTCGAGGTCGTTGCTTTCTTTCAACAGGTGTTACCAAGGTCGACTATGGAGACATAGCCTCAAGGCTGGGGCTGAGACACAAACTGCAATGCAAACCTTTCTCCTGGTACCTAGAGAATATTTATCCTGACTCTCAAATACCACGCCACTATTTCTCTTTGGGAGAGGTAAGAATACAGATCTACATCTTATGTACTTCTTCTTTTCTCTTTTCTCAATCAGAGATACTAAAAGTTAAACTTCAATAAGAAAATCCCTTTTATACTAAAATTACATAACCTTAAGGTTGGTCAAGTTCTCATTAGTTCACAGCCTACTTCCTAGCTTGAAATTTATTTAACTTTTAATTGTGTTAGGTTTTTCAAACAGGGCTGCCCTAGCACCGTCCTAACCATCATAGTTAAACTCTTACTACAACATAACAGTGTCTTTGGTAGACTTTCTACTTATACTGCTAACTCCTTCAGAAGAGACCTTGTCCTGCAAGCGCTAATGTTGCACTGTTGTTACTCACCTTGCAGCCCCACTTCCCTCGGTGGGTTTTGATACCTAGAAACCCTGTTGAACCAAGTAGAATTGCAGCTTCGGGTTTCCAAGATGATCAATCTTGACAGGGGCAGACAGCCTCAAGTCACTTCCATGGCGCGTGAGGCGGTCTGAGCCACCACCCTTGTGGGTAGGCACTTCGTCCACACTGCCCCCAGGGCTTCTTGAGGAGCTCCCTTGTGATGGCAACTTGTAAAGAACTGACCTGAAAGAGTATTCATTGTGTTTTCAGGACTTACATATTGGGGGTGGGGATGTTTAATTTTTCCTAAAACCGCCTGTCTAATCTTTCGCGTCGCTGTTACCAGTTTGATCCCATACAAATAGGGGTGAGTGAGGGGCTTATATCTGTTTTGGCAGGAAGATTGGAAGGAATGCTGGCCTATTCGTGTCTTTTGATGCGTTTAGCTTTGTCTTTTAGAATTCAGCAATTTACATGAAACTTGAACTTTACTTATTAACGCTTATAATTCCTTAACACGATTCATGGTGCTTTGTAGGAAGGTCACAAGGAACTATTACTTGTGCCATAATATTCCACTCTTTTAACATGTGAGGCGTATGGGCTGAGCTTCTGGCACCTGAGGATTCTCACTCACACTTCTGAGGGTGAGTGACTCAGCCGCGTCTCACTCTGTTACCGTTCCTCTTACAGACCCACAGTTCTGGTGAAAATTGAACTATGGACGTGGTCACCTTTGAGGTCTGGAACTGTCATTCCCATAGCTCAATTTTCACCAGAACTGTGGGTCTACAAGAGGAATGGTAACACGAGTGAGGTAAACACACCTTAAAACAGCCGATCACATGAGATCAAAATGGCAGCATTTCCCTGGGGATAAAGTTCCAAAGGGTTCGGAAAGGAGGAGAAACAGAAATGGAGGCACATAGGACAAAGTGGGTGAGGCCATGTTGCATTGTGGGGATGCAACCAATGACGTGAAACAAAATGGGTATGAATTGTGGTGTGGAAAACTGATTTGCTCCGTAGACCTTCGGGCAAATCACAACACAAAGCTACAGAAGAAAAGCCTGGGAGAGGTGATGTACTGTGGGGAGAATTCAAGAATTAGCACAGTCTCTCCTAGAACTTGCTTTTAGAATAGAGGATGATTAGGGGTTGCTTTTCTTATAAACTAACCCAATTCTAGCCAACGCCTTGGCGTTGTTGACTGGGCTAGAGCTTAGGCACATTACAGCGAGACATGTCTGACACACTGTGGATGGAGCCAAGGCAAGCTTACCTCGTGCCTTGCGTCCTGCCAGCTGGCTTCCTTTGTGAGGCTAGGTTTTATCCTGTGTGGCCGGTGGGTTTATTGCCTTATCAGTTATGCAGAAGGTGTTAAGCTGTCTATGCCCTTAATAACAAGCCACACCAGCCAAGCTCCTCAGCTCTGACTTGTGGGGTGGGGTCATTCCCAAACACCCATCTCAATGCAGCCATGAATCTGATGTTCATGTTGCAGCCCTCCCTCCCCTCACGTGGGCCTACCTTAACCAGAGACTGGCAGAAGTGTCATGTCTTGCTTCGGCAGCCCAGGGAAACCTGAAATTAGAGGATTTTAGAGGAGAAAGGAAATTAGAAGGTAGAAGCATGGTTAAGGTAAGAGGCATACCTAAGTAAGAGTATCTGGCAGCAGCTAAATTTGACTCCTTTGGGGATCTAGAAGAGCCCTAGTGGCGTAGTGAGTTATGAGTTGGGCTGCTAACCACAAGGTTAGCAGTTCTCAACCACCAGCCGCTCTGCAGAAGGACAGGCTTTCTACTCTTGTAACAATAGGGAAATAGATCTGTGTACATATATTTATACGTTAAGTATTAAGGTAACAGACAGACATTGGGCCTCTACTCAAGTACTCCCTCAATGCAAGAACACTTGTAAGCTGGGAATGCTCACATTCCCAACACAATCGCTGAAAACAAAATGAGTGCATAAGCAAATGTGGTGAAGAAAGCTGATGATGGTGCCGGGCTATTAAAAGATAGAGCATGTGGGGTCTTAAAGGCTTGAAGATAAACAAGTGGCCATCTAACTGAAAAGCAACCAAGCCCACCAGCCTGTGTGATCATGATGTGTCTATGGATCAGGTATCAAAGTCCCAGAGCAAATGTGAATGAGGGTGAGTATGGGGTGGAGACCCAATGTCCATCTGTAGACAATTGGACATCCCCTTACAGGAGGGTCAGAAGGAATAGGTGAGCCAGTCAGGGTGCAGTATAGTACCATGAAATATACAACTTTCCTCTAATTCTTTAATACTTCCTCCCCTCCACTATCATGACCCCAATTCTACCTTACAAATCCGGCTAGACCAGAGCATGTACGCTGGTACAGATAAGAGCTGGAAACACAGGGAATCCAGGACAGATAAACCCCTCAGGACCAATAATGGGAGTAGTGATACCAGGAGGGGAAGGGGGGGGGGAGGAATCCGCCACAATGATCTGCATATAACCCCCTCCCAGGGGGACAGACAACAGAAAAATGGGTGAAGGGAGACAGTGGTTGGTGTAAGACCTGAAAAAATATATATATATATAAATTACCAAAGGTTCAAGTAGAAAAAATGTTTTGAAAATGATGACAACAAATGTACAGATGTGCTTGACATGATGGATGGGCGGATTGTGCTAAGAGCTGTACAATCCCCCAAATAATGATTTAAAAAAATATTTGAAACCCACAGGGTCTGCCCTCCAGGGTCACTGCGTGACAAGGAGTGTTCTTTAGTTTACGGGCCGACAGTTTTTCTCCAGACAGATGTAAACATTGCAAGGTTTACTGGCCACGTCTGCATGTCGAGCACTTTGTGTGTGTGGTTGTTGCTGTTGCCAGGTGCAGTCGACTTGTCTCCAGCTCATAGCAACCCTGTGCTGGCTTGGGTGATGCTGAAAGCTCTGCCGCTGGAGTTTCACACAGCAGCCGGGTCCCAAAGTGAACAGGTCTCAGCAGAGCTTCCAGACTCAGACCAAACTATAAAGAAGGACTAGACTGCCCACTTCTGGGGAGTTAGCTGATGCATAGCACCGAAACTTTATGTATCGTAACTCATTTCTTCTTCGGGTTAATACTGTGAGAAGAGTGCTAGTATCCCCCCATGACAGGTGAGTAAATTGAGGCACAAGCCAAGTATTACACAGCGTGGCTAAAACCACAGCCACTGAGTGGCAGAGGCAGGATATCAGCCTTCCAGCCTTCGGGCTTGTGCTCTTAACCACTCACACTTCTGCTCTTTCAGATCAAACCAGTCAGTTCCTCACAGGCCTGGGCTCAGCCGGCCAAACCCACCAGCCACTCTGAGGGAGCACTAAGATCGTCACCGTCCTCGAGAACTCCAGGGAGCAGCTAGGGCCCTCACGAGTCCGAATGGGCTTGATGGCAGTGGGGATAGAGGAAGGAGACGTGGATTGTACACCCAACAATGTTTGGGAAGTGCTGGGGTTGTTTTTGTATCCTGCACTTTCTGTACCATCATTTTCCACCCCCTTCCTGAGATTTAGGGGTCTGGCATTATTCTGGGACTGAATCTGATTCATGTGACCTAGTGTAGCTCCATGGGTCAGTCTGGAAGGCTCTGACCAGTTCCTTAGGAAGGAAACCTATTTCAATTTGTTAAGCCAGCTGATTACAAAGCCCCTTTTGAGAACACATATTGGAAGACTGCAGCAGATGGTGCATTGATTCTTATAAGCAGTAAATGGCCTATCTGTGGTTTTAACTTGATTGCACTTCATCACTCAAAATTGGTCACCCTGTTTTTCTCTCTCTGGCATGACAAATGTCTGCTCACCCATCTCCCTCTGGCTTTCCAGTGCAGAGCGTGCAAATGTTTATCAGTCATTTCCGTAGGTCTTTCTAACTGCAATGGTTCATAAGATGCACACTGTCAAAGTATTCTCCCAATGGCTGATGACCGATTTCAATTCTTTTTCCCTAGTTGATAGATATTTAACAAAAGAGTGATTGCTCCACACCACTTGGGCCAGGCTCTAGGCTCCAAGCTCTTTGACAAGAAAATACCCACCTTACGTTTTCTAAGAGTTAATCATCAGAGTGGTTATCCACAGCAGTGCCCCTTACCTTGGCTGTTGTTCGTGCCCACAGAGAGTGGGAAAGTGGCTTTAAATGATTTATCCAATACACATTCTCAAAGTTCGGCTTGGGAAAATGAAGGAAGAACGCATTTAGAGGATGCCCCCCCTTTGGAGCACAGACCTATATAAGCAGGAAGACCTAGGCCACAATATTTTAGATGACCAGACAGTGATATCTTTCTGCCCCTGCCTGTACTCCTTACTCGGACCCCTGGCAGCACAGTGGTTATGCGTTGGGCTGTAAGGTCAGCAGTTGGAAACCACTAGTCCCTCTGAGGGAGCAGGATGAGGCTTCCTCCCCCTGCACAGAGTGACAGCCCTGGACACCCACAGGGGCAGTTCTCCCGGGCCCGAGGGGGTTGTCATGAGTCAGAATCAACTCCATGGCAGTGCATTTGGTTGGTCGGTTGTTTTCACTGTAAGTAGTAGTACCAGGGAGAGTAAATTGGGGTGTGTGTGCGCGTGTCTGCTTCTCTCTCTAATTCCTGATCTTCTTGTTATCCGCTATCCCACAGATCAGAAACGTGGAAACGAATCAATGCCTGGATAACATGGCTCGCAAGGAGAATGAAAAAGTTGGGATTTTTAACTGTCACGGTATGGGGGGTAACCAGGTGGGTCTCAGTCAAGCTCTGCAAAGACTTAATTTCCCGATTTTTTTCTTTCTTTCCCCTTTTTGTACCCATGGGCACTATTCAGGAAGTAGTTCCCTACCATTAGAATAAAGTAAAGACTGTCCGGTAAAGGAAACTTTCCTTCTGACTACTGATTTTCAACGAAACATTTGCCAAAGGCCCCTTAGAGAATTGCGTGTCTTAGGCTGCCAAGTGTTCGATTTACCTGCACTTTGTGTTTTCTCTTTGCTTTTCTGGGTCATTTTATTCAGAGCATTAAAAAAAAGAATTACATTTCAAAAAAAGACATGTGTCTTAAAATACAACTCTTTACTTGCCAGTATCTCATTAGCTGACAAGCCTGCATTTCACATGCCCAACAATAGTGTGTTTTTGCTTTAATCTAGTTGGCATGTTAATGACGCATCTCTGGCAGTAACAAACACCGAGGTGTGAGGCTGCAGTAGCAGCTTTCCCCTCAGTGGCTTGGCAGTTACCTCGTGCTGTCTTTTGGCAGTTGTATGGTGATGTCGTCGTCATCCTCCACTCTCCGATGGACACGGTCGTCGGTTCTTACATCATGGTGCGTGTTTTGCAGAACGACCTGACCGATAGAGAAGGAGTAGGTTGTGCTTGTTAAGTAGACCTAACACTCTCTGCTGTCAACGCTTATGTTTGTGTGTTTGTCTGTAGGTTTTCTCTTACACTGCCAACAAGGAAATTAGGACAGATGACCTTTGCTTGGACGTCTCCAAGCTCAACGGCCCAGTCACAATGCTCAAATGCCACCATCTGAAAGGCAACCAACTGTGGGAGTACGACCCGGTGGTAAGTTACCCGATTGCCCCAAGGGGGGAGGGGAGGAGGAGATTTCATTTGTTTACCTTGATGTGCGTTATCGCTAAGAGAATGCGTTTCAGAGGAGTTTGAATATTGAGTATTCTTATACTCTGGAAAGTGATGCGTGGGAAACAGCATGTCCATAAAATAGACATGTTTTCTTCCCCTTCGCCGTTAACCTGCGGAATCACAGCACCTTCCTTCCCGGCTCTCTGCGGTGACCAGGTGGCCCTGGATCCTGCTGGTCTCCTGAAGCTCCCTGAACGAGGAAAGGGAACTGCAAGTGGGCTTTTAAGATGACCGCAGTGAACTCTTAGGTAGAAGGATTCCTAGTGAAACTCTGGCTTCCCGTCATTTTTCAGCGGCATATATACCCCAGCTCCTTGTCTTTGTCTTGACTGTCTTCCTCTGGAGCCTGTGTGGGTCCGCCCCCTTTCTGTCATGCTCAGGTGGACTTGTCTCCTATAAAACTCTCTCTCCTTTCTGGTTCGTCTGTCAATTTGTACCTCAGACTCCACAATTCTGGAACCAACACCAAATTCTCTGACTGTTTCCCTTCTGCTTAGAAGCTCAACTCATTTGCCTCCGGCTTTGTCCGAAGGGAGTACGTAGTTGGCACGCATGCCTGGCCTGACACTGTGGAAACAGCTCCTGTGTACAAAGCCAGTGGCTCTCTGTCCCCTCTCCCCTAATTTCTCTGCCGCACCGAGTAGAGCTAAGCAGGTGATATTTTTAAACCCTTCTATCCCTTGGCGTTAGACGCCTTACTACTTTTCCTAATTGACTCTGTTCCTTCTCTCTGCTTGGCTCACTCTGCTTCCTCATCTCTCCATAAATGGAGGGGAGGTGTTGGCCAAAGTGATGGCTTCCGTCTCAGCTGTCTGCCCTTCTGTGGCTCAGACTCCGGCCTACATGCTGCCCTTGGATGGACCCTGTGCCTTCCCACTGGACAGTTCTAGTCAGACCGCTTCCTCTGCCCGACCTATGTTCTCCATTCTTGAGGGTCCAGCTTTGACTGTACTCCGTGAATCTCGGCCCCATATGAGTGCTCTCTGCCCCCAAATTAATTAGAATCCTCTTTAATCTCTGTAGTGTTTGTGCTTCTTGGTGGTTATTTACCTACCTGTCTTCTCTCTGCCACTAAACTTACATTGAAGAGGGCAGAGACCATATCTTATGGGTCCTGAGTCTGCCTTCACAGTGTCAAACTGTCCTGGGACCATCAAGTCAGTTCTGACCCATGGGACCCCATAGGACAAAGAGCTGCCTGTACTCTTTACGGAAAGAAGCAGACGGCCTTCACGTGCTTAGAGTGAGTGGAGGGTTCAGGCCACTGACCTCTTTGGTTAGCATCCATGTGCTTTAAGCACTGTGCCACTAGAGTTCCTCTGTCAGACTGTCGGGCAAATAGAATGGGTTGGTTAATGTGGCTATTAGAAATGTCTTGAATATTCTGTTCCTGGGCCTCCCGGGGTAGATGTTATTCCCATTGGGGGAGTTAACTGCCCCATGCACATAGCAGGAACAGCGATAGTATAGTCATCGCCAGAGAGTATAATCTCCAGCCATACCCCAGAGTCATTGTGACAACCCAAAAAAGAGAAGATTAAAAAGCCTCTCAGACTTAAGGTCTTTTGGAAATGGAAATGACCGTGCATTCATTACACAGTGCTGTATATGGATTAAATAAAACGTAGTGTGAAGGGTGCCTTCTGGTGTGGACGAAACGGCACAGTCACCATGAGGGCTACCTCTCTGCAGTACTGTTGGCCTTTCCTTGTGACCACAAGGTGACGGCTGCACCTCCCACCATCACGTCCCAGCTCAAGGCAGCAAGAAAGAGGAAGGGTGGACGGCCACATGTCCTGCTCCTTACAGGGACAGCAGGGCTCTCCTGGAGCTTCCTCCACCAATGCTGCTGATATCTGATATCTCCAGGGCCAGGACTTTATCCCATTCTGGGCCCCGGTGCAAAGGAGGCTGGTATCGCAGCCAGTCATCTTATAGAGTCCACTGTAACAAGCATTCCTCAGTGTCCGAGGACGAGTATGAAAAGCGAGAGATGAGTCGAGGTATCTTAGACATGCCTCTGCAGAAGAAAGATAAGGCATCCTACTCCCATAAAGAGCCACAGTCTCAGACGGGCAGTTCTCGTGCTACCCTGCCCTATGGGGTCTCCATGAGTCAGAATCGATGGCTGGGAGTTTGGGTTTTGGAGTCACGGGTATAAAGTCTTAGAACTTTGGATCACTTTGCTGGGTCAAGACTTAAAGCAAAACCAAAAAACCCCACATTTATGTCCACCCCACCCCCTTGAGATGAACCATCAGTGTCTCAGTCTGAGTTCTCCACCGTTTGACAGAATTTCACATTCTCGTGGACTCCAGACTTGGTGGAGCCACAGAGGCCAGATGGATGAAGCCTTAAAACCATAGCCCTGAGATCTTTAAACCTTAAACCAAAAATATCCCTTAAAGTTCTGCCGAAACTAAGAGTTTAGCAAACAGTCTGCCTTGAGCATGCAGCTTTTTAAAGTGCTGTCTGTGTGGGATCATGTTGACATGAACGAAGGCAAAGATTAGATAAGAGGAACCGTAGGGCTATCTTTTCTCATGCAGGCCAGGCCGGTCAAAAAAGGGAGGGTGAGAACCCTTGCTCAACTCAAAGAATGTAACCAGTGTCCCTGAATTGTACCTGTGGGGGCAGCTGACCCGCTGTGTGTTTGACTGTTATAATGTCAACAGCAGCAAAGATTAGCGTTGTTGTTGCAGACATGCTGCTGTTGGCCCTGGGCAGTAATAGGGAGGGGGAGAAAAGCACTCCGTGTCACTGAATAACATGTAAACATTGTTGAATGGGAGCCTGGTTTTGCTGTGACACTTTGACCCAAACCATCGCTTTCTTTAAAAAGGTAGGGTTTGAGATGGAGTGTTAGCACTGTGGGTGTTTATTAGGGTGCTCGCCCCTTTGGCTCAGCACCTCTGGGAGGGAGGAAGCAGGACTGGCAGAGGGCGAAGTCAATTGAGCCGCAGATGGACAACGTGAGTGGACTTTCACTTTCGGGCCGCGGTTTGGGCCACCCCCAGGCCTGGAGGCCTGGGCAGCAGCATGTAGAGAGTCACGACTCTCTGGGTGCTGAGTGTCCCAGTCACTAGGACCCTTTGTCGAGCACCTGCTCTGAGCCAGCCACCACGCTATGAAGTTAGTGTCTTCTATTGATGAGGTGGCTGGGCTCAGAGAGGCTAAGCAGCAGCTCAGGGCACATGGTTGGCATGCAACAGACCCCGAATGCCCTCTAGGAGTGCCTCACTGCAGAGCCCGGCTCCCCCAGGAAGCCACAGAGCAGCTGCATCAAGACCAATGGAGACCGGAAGCATGCCGGGCTGGCTCTCCGAGTCTGTGCTTGATGCTGCGCCTGAAGTCAGTGACCACCGGAGGTGATGGCATCTCCCTCTGTATGCCACGGCCATGTGCCGGCTCACACATGAACCAGGACACCATAAGGGCCTAGAAGCCAGAGGACGTGCAATCGCATACAAATAGAGAACCCTGGTTATATGCATGGGGCTGAAAATGGCGAGGTCAGCAGTTCAAAACTACCAGCTGCTCCCTAGAGACAGCCAGGCTTCCTACTCCCATAAGTTCGTCTCAAAAACCCACAGGGGCCGTGCTGGGACACTGCGTCAGGATCAACCGATGTCCGGGAGGGAGGGAGGAGGGGAGGGAAGCTGTTCGTCCGTTCAAATGAGGCAAAAGAGGCCTCATTGAAGGGAACTTGTTGAAGGAGGTAGAGCTGTATCTGGCCTTAGACTGACACTGCTTGAAAAGGAAAAGAATCTCAGTGAAGCCATGAGTGAAAATAAGATCAGACGAGCGCTCGCTAACGAACATGTTTTACATCCCACGGCGGTTGTGTTCACACGGTTTCAGATGATTTCAAAATCATCGTAATGCAAACGCCCACACAGCTTACCACAGCTCTCGCCATAGGAGTCCTCGGGGTGGTTCATTCACTACCGATCTCATCTGTACTTCCCTCCTGAAGCTATCCTGAAATCCAGCATGGCCACATCAAATCTGGGATGTAAATAAATATTACACATAACACACCCACGTACATAATGTGCCCCCACCTAGGAATAAACAAATGATGGCGTTTGGAAGAGAAAAAAAAACACACACCATATATCTGTGCTGTGTAAAAATCCAGTAGGCGGGAAAACACACAGCTGTATCTGCCAGCCGTTTACTAAGGCCCTATTTTGTATGAGCCACTGCCAGGTACTTTGTATTTGTTTCCTGTCTTTATTGCCGAATCTGCTCAGGAGACGCAATATTCTCACGCTAGCAGTAAGAACACACAAGTTAGCCAAACTCCAACTCCAGACTCCCAAATCCTACACTCTTCCTTCTACACTCTATCACCTCCCTGAAGGAGCCCTGATGTAGTGGCTTACATCCTGGGCTGCTAATCACAAGGTCAGCAGTTTGAACCCAAAGCTACTCCAGAGCGGAGCGATAGATGAGGCTTCCCACTCTTATAAAGATTTATACTCATAGAAACCCAAGGGGCCGTCCTACCCTATAGGGTCATTATTAGTCGGAATCAACTTGGTAGCAGTGAATTTTGTTTTGTTTTTATCAAAAGGAAGCTTCTAGATTTGATAGCGATGTAGACTTGGGGCTGATTGTATTAGATCTTGGCAGCCAAACATCCTATGACTTTGAATCTTCAAAAGGACCTGAGTTCCTAAGGGCTTGAGGTTTGGACTCACAGAATGTATTTGAAAAGCCTTATCACAAGGAAATCCAACACTTTTGAAACTAGGCTGAGGGTCCTAGATTAGGATCCACCTTTTTTTTCCCTCCCTCTGGTCATTTTTTAGGAAAAGAGCCACCTCAAAAAATTAGATGAATGGGTTAACAGGTAGGTAGGTAGGTAGGGTCATTTTACCCTATTTCAAGCTTATGAGCAATTGAGACGAAGTCAGGTCGTCATCTTCCAGGTCCAGTGGTTCCCACTGTACCCCAGTCCTTTCTCCCCGCCGTCTTTAGTACACACCGCTTTCTCCTTTATATTTTAAATGAAGTCACTTTTTTCTACCCCAAATTTCTTAATCTCCAGCTGGGAGGGCAGAGGGTGTTTTTGTTCTTTGCTTGCACTTTGATGTAAAGCTTTCCTCCCCGCCCCCCTCCCCTGTCCCTTCCAGAAACTCACCCTGCAGCATGTGAACAGTAACCAGTGCCTGGATAAGGCCACTGAGGAGGACAGCCAGGTGCCCAGCATCAGGGACTGCAACGGGAGCCGGTCCCAGCAGTGGCTTCTTCGGAACGTCACCCTTCCAGAAATATTCTGAGACCAAATGTACAACCACAAAATAAACAGAGGAAGAAGAAATTAAGGATTGACTGGGCTACCTCAGCATACATTTCTGCCACCTTCTTACGTAGCAAAAAAGGAAAAGTCTTTCCTGTTCTGCAGGATGCAAGGTGTATCAGCCATTCAAACATCAGACTCCTCGAGCTTTCCGCCAGCTGTGAACCAGCCTTCCTGTCCGAGGACGGGAACCTACGTAGGAGTGAGACTGCGCACACTGATGTTTACAAGATTGAGTCTCCTCAAGAACCATCGTAAGGCGCACTCAGACAATGAAGAAGCAACCAGGAAGACGTGCCCGCACATCAGTCGCTATTCCGACGGGATGTGCCGTCGCGGAGAAGAGATTTCCAAGGTTTCTTATTTTCTGATTAGAACTGGTAGCCAGTATATGAAATATTGATATAAAAATTAATGAAAAAGAACTGGAACCAGATTCAGTATCATGAAACCAACATTTTTACAATAATAATTTTAAGAAAAAAAGCTATATTAAACAGGGTTTAAAGAAAATTAAATCAGAACTATGAGAAGTACAATTTGTTATAGTATAGTATCAAATTTCTATATAGATTTTTATACCTCAGTGGGGGGATACTGATTCCAGTGGCACCGGCTTGTTTTCATCTGTGAACGTCAGTAGTCACGATGCGGGATGTTTTTGTTGTTTCCTGGGGGTGAGGGGTGGGGGGAGGGGGTGGGGCTGAAATGGAGCTCAAAACTAAACAAAAGGCTCTTTGATAAGAGACTTAATTTCTATCATTTAAATTTTTCAATTTGGTTCGTGGGCTGTTGGAAATGTAATTTTTAATTTCTTTCTAAACCTGGCCTCAACTGAACAAATTAGTTATCTCAGCTGCTTGTAGGTCAGCTGACTTGTAGGCGTTTACAGACGCACGCATGCGTGTGCTGACACATTCATTCTTTTGTTACATCTTCAACAGCTTAACTTGATTTCTCAGATTATGCTTAATACCCAAGATTCATACCCCTGTAGTAGATTTGTTTCCACAGCTATAAATGTTCAGTTGTTTGGTTATGATGCCACTCCCCAAAAGGCCTACAGAAGTGATTTATTATTTGGCTATTTGGAGAAGATCTATTTAAGGGGATTTTTTTTTGGGGGGGGGGGGTTGTGAAAATATTTTTCTCCATACTCAGATGTGCTTCATTGTCGAGTACACATTTAGATTAGGTTCTTGAATTGTAATGTTGATCTGCTGCTTTTTTTTTTTTAAATAAAATTTTACCGAAAATGTTTAATTGGCGCTTTTTTTTTTTTTTTTAATGTTAGCCAAAGAACTGCAGCTACACTACTTCTTGGCTGCATTTCTTCCCTAAATGCAATTTAGGTTAAATTTGTTTTCCTTTTTAGATATTTTTAATATCATGAAATGATCTATTATCAATTGAAGGTTAATCTTTTCATCTTACAGAGAGAAAAATCTCACTGTGACATTTTCCCCGATTCTTGAATCAGTCCATTGGCTAATGGGCTTATATTATTACTTCCTGTTTGTAAGATAATATTTAATGGTATTCTTTTCTCTGATTATCAAAGGCTCTCACTGCAGGCAGTGCTATTTCATGTGTAAGAATGTTTTTTGAAAGTTGTGTCATTAATGATACCTGCGCCAAGTGTACACCAAATTTCTCATATACTCCTTAAGTTCCCTAACATCAAGCACACATTGCTGCTTTAGGGCGAGATGATGACAGAGTGCATAAACTTTGTCCCCAGAAAATTTGAAATGAAGCAGGTGCTAGATGGAATTTTCCCCCAACTCCATGACCGATGTTAGCTCTATCTTCAGTAGGCCTAATGCTTGAATAAACCATGTGTCTAATCAATAAATTATTTTCATGCTCAGAATTTCAGGTTTTGTACTCAAGTGTAGCTTGGTTATTCCTTCTTGTCAGAAAACATAACTGCACTGTGATTTAAGGTTTTGCTTTGTTTTTAAGTGGGGGATGTATGTAGTTTAATCCATGGGTACTTTTTAGAACCTGATAGATAATCCCATTGCCTTTATTTTTCTAATTAAAGAGTTCCTAAATACTTTGAAAATATAAAATATTCCTGAATAGTTGCGCCATACTGTACATTGGTTTTCTTTGAAGTTAACATGGATCCCCGCTCATTATAGCTCTTTTTAGATTAGGCAGCTGTGTGAGTCTGGGTAGACCAGAGAAACAGATCCAGGGACACTCATGTGCATAAGAAAGAGCTTTGTATAAAGAGTAATTGTATATTAACAAAATATCCTAGCCCAGTCCAAGTCAAATCCCTAAGTCTGATATTATCCCATATGTCTGATACCTGTCTGTAAATTCCTCCTCAAACTCACCCAACACATGCAATGACCAGAATGTAGGAAGATCACAGGCCAGTGGGTGGAAAGCCTTGTGGATCCAGTGGTGGTGGAAGCATCTCAGCGCTGGCGTGGGCTCCACGTGGCTCCTCTGGCACCAGGACTTGGCTCCATCAGTGTAGCTCCATATAGCTGCCAACAGCAATGTCTTGCAGGGAGAGAGTGTATCTAGCCTCCTGTTACACTATCTCCTTCGCACCTCCCAAGTGAGGTCATCAAGATGCAACCTGGTTGACAGGCTAGACTCCACCCCTTTGCAAGTTGACAGGAGACTATGATGGATTTGCTAAAGATTTGAAACTAATGATTGCACATACACACACACACACACACACACACGTGTAAATTTGTGTCAAGAAATAGCACACAGCTGTAAAAGTGAGGTAAAGTAACCCACAGTCAGCAGCTCAAGTGGCAGAGTACTGATGGCTCCCCGGATTGGCAGGCAGTATGGCAAGCCATTGGTTCAATTCAAAGAACCAGAAGTCACCAAGCCAGATGCAGGATCCAGACTCAGGAAAAGCAAGCCAATTTCCCCACAGTGTCCACTTATATAGGAATTAGGCCATACCCCTAGGGAAAACTTTTCACAGCACATCCCATTATGGAATTTATGACACTGTTAGGTCATATCCTGGGGTATCACTAGGCTCTAAATGCCAAATCCTTGAGAAGTCAGACTCAGCCAATGGGCACAAAACCTAAGTATCATAAGCAGTATGGTAATTGTAAATCAAATTGGAAAGAAAAGGATGTGAAAAAAAAAAAGAAAAGGATGTGTAAAACAAAGGATGAAACAGTATTATTGGGACTTCTGGGAAGATGGCAATGGAGTGACACATACCAGAGGGGACTCCGCAGAATTCAGCTGAGCAGAGTTGCTTAGAGGGAAATTCAACACTGCTGGAACAGGAAGAGCATCATAAATATAAGTAGACACAGACCCACGTGGTCTTGAGGGGCTGGGAACTTTGGGCTTACCTCAGTGGAAGCTGGCTGGGGCTTGAGCTTGGCCCAGCCACTGTCTCTAGCGGAGCCAGCACCATTTGGAGCCCGTAGGGAGGCCTGGCATTGACATAGCCACAATTTGCCCCCGCCTGTCCGGAGCAGCTCCACGGGCAGGGATCGGGGTTCAGCTACATTGTTGCTTTCATTCCCATCTCTGCTCTCTGTCCCTCCACAGTACTAGAGGTCTGCCAGGGGCTTTTTTCCCTTGGCTCAGCCGTGGATTGCTGCCGCTGCCTCAGAACAGAAACGAAACCCTTGCAGCTCCATGGGCAGGGATCAGGGTGCAGCTACACTGTTGCTTTTGTTCCCATCTCTGCTTGCTGTCCCCCCACTGCCTTTGGGGGGGTTTGTGAAGGGGCTTTTTCTAGGCTCAGCTGTGGGACTAAACCCTTGCAGCTCCACGGGCAGGGAGTGGGACTCAGCTACATAATTGCTGACCCCCCACCCTCTTCCCTATATTCCCGCACAGTCTAAATGGCCTTTTTAATTTTTTTCTCTCCTCTTTGTCTCGTTCCTGTTCTCTCACACTCCACTGCTGCCCTCCAGACCACGCCCCTTAGCCTAGGGCATTTACGCCTGTACCACACCCAGCTAGGTGAGCTCCACCCTGTGTAGCTAGCCTGAGGCTAGGGAAAGCCCTGTTTCCCTACAGGGGATACTCTGCCCAACTTCTCTCCAGGGAATTCCTGCCTGTGCACCTGGGGATATAAGGCAACTCAGCCAACACTCATCAACATTCCAAGATGTTGCAGGAGCCTCTGCCCAACCTCCACAACACCAAAGCAGGCAACCCACCAGCCTTCTGGGGCACTCCCCTGAGTGGGAAGCCACAGGAAGCTAAAGGGGTAGGTTAATCCCATAATAAAATTACCTGTAGGCAGTTTGAAGGAGCATTCCTACAAGTCTCCCAGAGAGCCAGTGCTCTTTGACTCCCTGGAAAATGGCACCTGGCTCCTCTAAAACAATGCAACACAAACAGTCATCAACCCCAACGATTTCAACGAAAAAACAGGAGGAAAAAAAAGGCAATGGCAGATGCCCCGAACATAACAACATACATAGAAGAAGCAGACATAGAGCTGCCCCAGAAAGAAATTTTCAGAATGCTGTTTAGAGTCATACAAGATATGAGGGAAGCAATACAGAAAAAGGATGAAATGATAGAGGAGATAAAGGCCATACACCAAAGGGAAATACAGGCGCTTAGGGAGGAGATAACAAAAACCAGTAGCAGAAACACGGACCTCGAGAATCGACTAGAGGAATCAGAGAGCCGCATCAGTAACTTGGAGGACAGCCAAGCAGATTTTAACAAATGCGAACAAAAATCTAATAAGATCATCAGAGAAGCTGAAGAAAACCTAAGAGCTATGTCTGATGAAGTGGAACAACATTAGAATTATTGCGTTACCACAGGAAGACACAACAAAGAACTCATCTGCAACAATAGCGAAAGAATTCTTGGAGGAAAACATCCCCAGCTTGATGAATGAAAACCAGGCAACAATTCAGGAGGCTGAAAGAATGCCAGCTACGCTGAATCCCAAGAAGAAATCACCAAGGCACATAATAGTTAAACTTTCCAACTTTGAGGAAAAGGAGAAAATCATGAGAGCAGCTAGGGAAAAACAAGCAATCACATATAAAGGTTCCCAAATAAGAATATGCTCAGACCTATCAGCAGAAACTATGAAGAAGAGGAGAGAGTGGAGTAACATATTCCAAATATTGAAGGAAAACAACACAAATCCAAGAATACACAGCCAAATTATCGATCAAGATAGATGGAGAAGTAAGAGTCTTCCCAGGCAAGGAAAATTTCGAATACGTTAGAAGAAACCCACCCCTACAAAAGACCCTTGCCAACCCAGTATGGGCAGAAGAACAACACTCACCAAACATAAGAAAGAGACCACTACATAGAACAACCTCACCGAGAGGGCAACAAAGAGAAAACAGACCCGCAGGATAGCATTGGCTTAAGGATGGAAAGAAGCCAAGAATGAAGCACACGCATGCACAACACACTGAGAAAGGAAAGTAGGAAAACTCAACAAAAGGTAGAAGATGACACCACAGAGTCTGCAGATGGAGATAATAACCCTGAATATCAATGGCCTGAACTCAGGCATTAAAAG